CAAGTCTGTGCCAGGTACATGGAACTAGCCCGAGCATTTCCGGTGGGCAGCTGACCCAGCAATTTCCTTCCCTTCTCCCTGTTCCCATTATCCCTCATGCCACTGACCAGCAGACAATTCCTGGCTCTGGAACACGTCTTCTCACATCCTGACACCCACCTGGAAAATACAGGAGAGCTTCCGGCTCAGGGATAGGCTAGAAACTCCACACCCCGCCCTCCCTTCCCATCCTTTGCTCCACCTCTGGGACACATGCTGACCTTCCCACCCTTCCATCTCAGGAGCTCAGCACAGACCCCAGTGGAGGACAGAGGTGGCTTCCCCTGCCCATGCTGGGTAGTAGATCTGATTTTGTGCCTCACCAGGCCACACTGCTCATCCCCTGCTGGCAATATTAGAGTGCCTAGGCATGGCCAAGCTGAGGCCATCTGTCCTGGGAATGTGAGATGGGCCAGACCCCAATAAGGCCCCTCAGTAGCCTGGCTATTTCCACTGATCTGCTAGGAGGGCCCACACCTAGGGCAGGACTCAAGACTCCTGTGTTGGCCCACACCCAAGGAGGCCTCTGGAGCCTCAGCCAGCATCGAGCCCGAGCCTCCTGCTTTCCAGGAACATATCACATGGGGTTCTCCTCTCCTCTCCCCTTTGTTCAGGCTCCCCACACCCTGCCACTGATCACGAAACTGTCCTCCCTTCCCTCACATCCTGTGCAAGGCTGGTTGTGGCTTCAGCCTCCTGCTTGGCAGAGGTGAGATGCCCTGGCACCTCCTACTGATGGGAGTGGCAGGGCGGGGCTCTGAGCCACTGGGGCAGCTGCTGACCCTTCTGGTTTCTGCCTGCACCAACTCAAGATGCCCGAGGCTGCTTCACCAGGGCCTGTGTTACCATGGGAAACCCAATCACCACTCAGGGCCTTGGCCAGCAGCTCAGCAAACGAACTTTGGCTGAAGGGCACTGCTGTGGAGCAGGTGTGTGTTTGGGGGATACCAGAGAATTATCAGCACTGATGTTGGTTAAGTAATCAAAGTACTGAGGGCTATGACCAGATGCTGCTTTCAGACTTTACATGCATCATCTCATTTATAATTATTACAACTAATCCGGGGTAGTATCAAGCCCTGAACAGTAAGAGTCCGAGTTTCTGTTTCAACTGCCATCTGACGGACTCCAGAATCCTCTGGTTCATTTCAAGCCACTCTCCTGGTACACAGGGCTGGCGAACAGTAGGCCAGATGGGGTCAGCCTCTACCAACCACTGTCCATCCCACAACCCTGAGAGTCCTCCCACCAGGCCAGGTCCCTTCTGAAGCGTTTCCTCTGCTGCCCCTCCCAGGACTGTGAAGAGGGTAAGAAGGTAGGATGTAAACATCCTCCTGCACCCTCTACCCTGTAGGGGCCTCAGTCCTCTCCAGGCAACCAGCACCAGATTTTCCAAGGAAGTGAATGGTAGTAGGATGTGGCCAAGTGAAAGGAGAAGCACAGTCATTCTGGGGAGAAGATGGACAACTTGTCTGGGGTTGGGGTAGATAGACTGCCTGGCCCACATCCAATCAAGCCCCATCCCAGGGTCTCCCACCTGTCCTGACACCTGAACAGCTGGCCCCATGAGCTGCCAGAAGACACCAACTACAGAAGGAAATGACCATACTAGTTTTGTCCACGTTGTATCCCCAGGGACACAGGGGAAGCACTCCCATTTTATCCTGAGAACTCCTCTGCCACCTCCAAGCTTTGCTCAAATGTTTCCAGAATGGCTGAGGCCCATTCTGGTCACCTTTAAAGCTCTAGCCCCAGCAGAGAACGGTGGTACACACCTGTAATCCCAGCCCTTGGGAGGCTGTGGCAGGAGGACTGCTAAGATTTCGAAGCAGCCTGGACCACACAGTGAGTTCAAGGCCAGCCTGAATTACATAGTGAGACCCTGCCTCAAAAATAAATAAATAAACTTGTACCCCCAGTAGCACAGGGGATCCCAACTCCTGTTGTAGTTCTTTTTCCTGTGCAACTCATATCATCTGCTAATGCATTATTACTAAAGCGTATTTCCTGTTACTTATGCTCCCTATCTTTTACAAAGAAAGTTTCACCATGACAGAACCTTGCTTTAAGGACTATGTCCAGTAGAATGATGCTACACATAAGCACTGATAAATACCCTTAAATCAATGAATGAAAAGTTGGACAACATTGAGATTAACTATGCAAAAAATGCTGAGGTAGGGTCACAAGGTCCTCACAGAAGCTTCCTACCCTGTTCTCAAGACTGAAACCATGGGCAGGGCCATGTGGACCTCATATGTGGCATCCTGCTTGGGATGTCATTGTGAGCCCTGTCCCAGACCCTCAGCTCCTGAGTAAGGAAAATCCCAGCATAACACTGTTAAATATTATTTATTAGAGTCAAACAGATCTGTGTCCAGATGTCCCTTTTGTCAAACCCTGGCAACACTGAGTCAAGTGCCTGGAGAGAAGGCTCTGGTCTCTACTGAATTCCTGAAGGGTAGAGTCAGGTATCTTGCAGTTGTCCTGTCCCCACGCCCAGAGCAGCCTCTCCTAACTCAAGAATTCATCACGGTCCCTGGGAACGGGAAGAAGCAGGGCGCTGTGGCTCTTCAAAGGACCAGTTTCTGCTGAGGCAGGGCAGGGAAGGAAGGATACCACAGAGGGACCTGAGCATGGCCACAGAACACAGCAAGGGAGCTTCTCCCTGGGATCCCCAGGGAGCCAGAATTGGGGATGACAAGCAGTGCCAGTAGCCCCACTGGGAAACACCCATGTCCTGCTCTGTACCCTGCTTCCCCCTGCAAACTGTGCCCAGGCAGAGGAAAATAAAGTTGCCAAGCAGACCTGGCATGTTCCAGCTGGGAGGAACCAAGATAGTGATAACACCAAGTGAGATAAGGGGGCCTCTCGGAACTGAGTGCTGCGGATAAGTGAGTCCAGGCCACCAGTGGTGGTCCAAGCTGCCAATTAGGGCAGACATTAGCCTCATGGGCCTCTACCCTGGCCCCCTACTCAGATGTCTCTATAGCTGCCCCTGGTTGGTCTAGGAAGTCCAGGAAACTAAGCCTTGCCACATTGTTCCTAAAAGCTCCTGTCAGGTCTCCCATGGCATATCAGGGGCCACAGACTGATGGTAGATGCACCAAACTTCCCAGCTCCATGTACCACTTTTCCCAGAAATCCAGTCGTGAAGAGGACATCCTAGCCCCAAGCAAGGTTGAAAGGGAACACTATGGAATTCCCCGAAAATCGCCTCAAAGAAAAGAGGAATGTGCTCCCCTGCCCCACCCCCCCAACAGGGTGTCCAGAATGGACAGTGTAAGCCCTCTCAAGCTGGACAAGAGCAGAGCAGATAATATTCTGCACTTAGGGAAGACCCTCAGCTTAGTCTGTGACCAGCCCTCATTCCTGGCTCTCCAAAGGAGCAAGGGAAGTATCAGGGACCAAAGAAACAGGATGTCAGGTAAGGACTGGCCACTGCCCCCTACTACTGAGGAGTATCCTCACTGACCTCTACAAACTTTTTATTTGTTTTTGAGACAGGGTCTCACTATGTAGTGGAAGCTGGCCTTGAACTCGGGGTGATCATCTCACCTCAGCCCTTGGAGTACTCAGATTACAGGTGTGTGTCACCAGGTCTGGGCAAGAGACTTGAAAGGATTACTAAATCATGAAACTTAGGCTGATTTCTGGACCAGGAAGCAAATCCTTTCAGCCCATCAAGTGTTTCCAAAAGGCCCAGGGCACACCCAAAGGCCTGTGAGTGCCTGGTGCTTTTTATACTTTTGGGGAAGCTAAAAAATTCTCTGTCCTTGTGTATGTACCAGAAAGTACATGTTCTTAATGTTTTCACCTTCTTGGCAACTTCTATTAAAACAAGGCTTGACATGGTTAATTGACTCAGCTAAGGTCATACAGCAAGAACTCAGCAAGTTATGATTTAAAATTACCTGATATCTAGGAAGACATTACAAAAAAACTTTTTTTTTTTTTTTAGACAGTCTTTTGATGTAGGCCAGGAATGCTAGGCAGCTCAAATTTGCAATCCTCTTGCCTCAGCCTTCTGAGCGCTGAGATTAAGGCTTGTACCACCATGCTTGGCTTAAAAAGCTTCACAAACACTAAGTTTGGGGAAAATTCAGGCAAGGAGAATCTTTTCTGTCTTAAATTTTCTAAAATTTTTCATTTTTCCCCTCCCTTGACTCCTACTCCCTTTTTCTGTTTTTTTGTTTTGTTTTAATGAACTTGAGTCACCTGGGGCTACAGGGTTTTCTTTTCAATGCTATTGTTTACTAAAAAGTTACCAAGTATTATTTTAATACAATTGAAATTATACTACTCTGCAACCAAAGGAGACACTCCGTTGCCTCAAAGAAGAGTAGGGACACAGAATGACCCCAGACGCTGGAGATGCTAACCAGGGGCCTTCAAGGAGACAGAAGAGCTGGGTTGGAGTCCTGACTGTCACAAATGAGTATTGTAGGCAGAAGAAGACTTAAAACTAATCCTAAATTCCCTGCTCACAAAATAAAGTAAAACCATCTCTCCCCTGACCCATCCTCGCCTGTGCCCTAGATCTTCCTCAAAAGCCATTTCTGACCTTGCCTTCCCCTGGGCAGGCCCCGCCTCTTGTGCTGCAGCCCCGGTCTTCCACCTGCGTTTCCTCTAGGCTGACACACCCTTTCCTTCCCTGCCTCCCATCCACTCAAAACCCCTCCTTACAGAGTCCCTAGCGCCCAGGTTAAGGCAGCTTGTGCCAACTGACAGGATCCCCTGGGGAAGGGGCTCTACAGTCTAAGCTCCGTCCTCCTCACCTAAAGATCACTGCTTCGGTGAGAGTTTCCGAGGACTACAACGCCCCATGTCCTAGTTACGCTCATTTCTCGCCACGACCAAGACTCAGTGGGTCCACCAACCGTCCAGCCGGAACAAGCCTAGTTAAACTTCTTTGGCAAGAATTTTCTACTACCCGCCAATCCCCACCGCGCAAGCCCCACCTATCAGGTGGAAGACAGACTGGATGTCAGCACGATCGCCTAAAGGTGTCCAGAGAAGTCCAGGAGAATGCCACAACAGCGAGGTCCCTCCGCTGGCTTCCTGCGTCCCCGGATTAGGAGGCACAAAGGGCCAGCAGGGAGACCCCCAGGTGGCCCGGACCCGGGCTAAGCCACCAAGGTAACGCAGCTCGCGGAGGCCGGGTCATGGAAGCCCCGCGTCGCCCGCTCCCCGCCCGGGCGCCTTGCACGTGAGCCCCGGGACTCCGCCTCCCGAACGAACCCCAGCCGGACACCTGTTCCCCAGATCCCGAAAGCCAACATTATTGTGCAAACCCACTCCCCAGGTTTGGTAATCGGGAGCGGACCAGCAGAGAGAAGTTCCCAGCAGAACTTTCCACAGGTGTCTATCTCCCAGACGAGCCAAACGACGGCGCCAGGGAGAGGCGGAGGAGCTGGGTGCAGCCCTCCCGGAGGGGAAGCCCGGGGGTCCCGGTCCTCTCCAGCCTCAGCGCGAGCGTTGGGCTCCCCAGCGGG